TATTTGGGATCATTGGAATGATCAGCAGCATCTCTTGATGTGACTTTAAGGCAGTTGCCCAGGGCATCATCACAAGGAGGATGGCATTCATTTACTTTTGTTTTATTTGGTATTTTTCAGTCATTTTTGGAAATAGTGATTAATTCACAGCCTATGTTTAATTTCATTTAAAAATTAGTTGTTTGACATCCCCAATTATAATAAATGTCTACAGATGAGATCAAACAAAACAGATGAGAATTGCCCTTAAAGAGCAAGTCACCCCCAAATAAACTTTTTTTTGCTGATAAACTAAATAAACGAGTGTCTAATCGTGCTGCAGACACGTGTCGTCAATAATTTGGCACTTCAGTGCATCTTAGTTAAAATTTAAATATTCTGCCTAAAACTGGCAGTGTTGTGCCGTTGTCAGGTAAAAACTCTGCACTGTATTCTAATATAAATATGCCACCGCTATTGGCTAAGAGGTATGCTATGATGTAAACTGGTACATTATGATGTCACAATGCTGTCGTGAGCCTGAGTGTGTGTGTATGTGTTAGCGGCTCCGCCCTCTCGGTCTGCCAGGCAACAGCATGTGTTGCATTTTTCAAACATGAAGCGGGAGTGGAGTTAGACTCTGGTAGGGGTTGACTTGCTCTTTAAGCTGTTTAGCTTGGACCAAGCATTTTAGGTCACAGATAGGTGTAGCTTAAGGTCTCTGTCTATACACCTTATAAGACAATTTAGGTGATGGCATGTTGGTTTTCTGCTATTGAACTGTTTTCTAATAATGTTGTGTTTAAGTGAAGGAAGGAAGGAGAAAAATAACGTTTTCCTAGCAGTTTTAAAAAATGTCCCTATGTAATCCGATTAATCGATTAATCGTGTCGAGACCCCATCCGATTAATCGATTATCCAAATAATCGTTTGTTGCAGCCCTATCGCCAGGTACTTTTAGGATTAAAAAAGTCAAGAAGGGGGTCTGAAAAGCTGTTACAAATAGCGTCAAAGTCGCTAAGTTGGCAACACTGTAGGGAGGAGCGCTTCATTTGCAACTCAGGGCAGCGCAAGTGGGAGGAACAAATAATCGGCTCGTTTTGTTTTCATAATCGTTCAAAACTCAGATCGTAATTGGGATTAAAATTTGATTAATTGAGCAGCCCTAATATATATATATATATATATATATATATATATATATATATATATATATATATATATATATATATAATGAACCCATTATTAACCTAAATTAAAGGCAAAAATTGGACATGTCCTGTAGGTTTTCAGTATTTTAAAGATTATGTCAGCATCACCGTTTTTTTTCCTGTTGGTAGTTTGTCGTCCCCGCCCCCCCGACAACTAGTTCTCCATTCTGAGCGCCAAGAAATAAAACTGATAAGTGCACTTGTCTATTGAAGTGACCTACTTCCTCTGCACTGCTACTTGATTATTCAAGAGCTTTGAAATGTTCTTCTGTATGGCAACAGGCAACCCGAGAGCCTCTGTTTGTCACTCATGATAGCCGCGTCACAGATCTTCTATTTATGCCTGAGAGTGTGTGTGTATATTGTGACTGTGTGCATGAGAGTGCATTGCCAAGATTTTATGCCCGTACACATGTCGATGTTATTACACCGATTTCAATTTGATACAGCAGGTTGGACTTCTAGCTGAGTAACCGACAGGAACATTTTAGCCATTCAGACATTAGATGGATCAGACCAGAGCTTTTGATGTTCAGATGCATCTCGAGGGCTGAACAGAGCCATGATTGATTACGCGGACATGTCAGGACAAGCGCATTTTAGCCGTCAACATGAGAAGCTTGTAAATGAACCTTTATACCTTTTACAGTCACCCTTACTTTCTCTGCCGAGTCAACAGTTCTGGGGTGTGTGCCCTTGGCTGCCACAACTAGAACGCTTTAATATGTAGTAACATAAAAATAACTGCTGTAGCACACATTCCTGTTAGAAAGCTAATCAGAGAGATAAATGCTAGCCACAGCTGTAGCCAAAACACAAACAAGAGTAATGTCCTGAAACATGCTGTCATCTGCATTGCGTAACAGAGTCAAGTAAATCACTTACCACAGAGCCATGTCTAATCTCTGCTAAGCTGGCGTTTGGCTCCTATTTATTTAGTTTGAATATGGGTGGCTGCTTTTAATAGCAACCTCTCTTTAGATCTATCAAAACAGAGCGCCTTGTGAATATTACAAGGATAGGCTTGAATCAATTACCAATACCACACAACACTACATGCAAACAAAGAAGTGTGACATGTTGAATTAATGTTGTTTTAAACAAAAAATTGAGAGTGATCTCTTAACTAACATCTAAACATAAATTAATATTCACCAGCTAGTTACCTCTGGCCATTTTCTTATTGTGGGTACTAATCTAAACTATGACTCAACAAACACAAATGAAAACAGAATAGTTTCTGCGGGGCATAACACTGTGACAGATGACTCGAGACCCCATCAACCTCTTGACCAGCAGGCCCAACAAACCCAACCCTTTACTCTTTGAAGACTGCATTTGAACAACAAAAACTGGATTTTTTTGAAAGATGAAGACAAAGCCCTGAAGCTGTAGGCTAGTAGCTAGTTGGGAGGTCAGCACTAGTTGTGCATGAGCAAACATAACAGACATTTTATTTAAACTGGCATGTAAATTTTCAATTTTTGCTTTAAAAAGGAAAATGTAACCTGCCCATTGACCTGATTTCAGGAAAATCTCCTGTTTAATGGTGCTGTGTGTGTATTTTTGAGGCACAGCAACAGACTGGTCATGCTGAATTTCAAAGTTCAACCACACTTGAGTCACATTTAACATTCACCACAAACTAAACCCAGACGGTGCAGTCTCCCAGCATGCACGAGCCTGACTGAATTCAAGTTGTATTTATAAAAATAAAGCATAAATAGATGTGCAATCCTCTGAATAAACTGCTTACCTTCTCACTTGTATCTAAATAAAAATCCAACACATTCTGCCCATCTATTGCTGAAATAAAGCACAAAAACCCTCAAATGTTTGATAAAAAACCTTGAAAATGTCTTAATAGTTAAAAATCTGTTGAAATGTTTCATACAAATGAATTATACTGAGCAGACCAAAGCGGGAGAATAAAGGTAGACTATTCCAATCTTTATTCTAACTTTCTTATTCAAACAAGTCAAATATTTAGTTACATTTACTATATTTTTATTTAAACATACTGACTCTCTCCTGTGAGGAGAAAAAATGTTTGAGTCGATTATTATTAAGCATTCCCATTGGATGCCAAGCTTAATATGATTTCACATCGGGAATTTGAACAAATCAAAATAACTTCAGGGAAACCCAACCATTTTGTAAAGCACTAGAGAAATATCTGACACTTCTAATTCAAATACTAAATTAAATGAAAGTCCTCTCATAGCTAAACGTTAACTGCAGATCATTAAACTTCTACTTGTTCTCACACGAAAAAACAAAGCAATAATCACCAAAGCCTCTATAGGCACTGTCCAACTCTTTAATTAAATAATGCTGAAATATTACCCAAATTAAAAAACTACATCTCAATGTGTTGGCAAAGCTGGAGTCAAAATCAGAAATGATTAAATCATAAAACAAGCCACTAATGTGATGTTGATCTAACCTGGCATTTTACACTAGGACAGCGGTAAAGAACATGATTCTGTAATAAACATAAAATTTGTTATAAAAAACGTGGTTTTACTTGTCACAAGATGGATAAGACATGGATGTTGCTTTGCTTTTTTAAGCAGTTATAACAGTTTCTAGAACAGAAACACAAGTGCTTTACTTCAAAGGGTGAAACTGGAACAGGAAGAGTTATGGTTGAACAGTCAAGTGCATTTTTTTCCAGTTTTGTGTGAGTTAGATCATTACTTTGACAAAAGATCTGCTGACAGAAGTCTGTTTTCTTTTCTAGCTCTAGAGAAGGAAGAGTTAGACACCACAAAACAGAACCGTGTGTGTGTGTGTGTGTGTGTGTGTGCGTGCGTGCGTGCGTGCGTGCGTGAGTGAGTGAGAGAGAGAGAGAGAGAGAGAGAGAGAGAGAGAGAGAGAGAGAGAGAGAGAGAGAGAGAGAGAGAGAGAGAGAGACAGAGAGAGAGAGAGAGAGAGAGAGAGAGAGAGAGAGAGAGAGAGACAAGCAGCAACAACTGTGGTTACTACTTGTTTCCTTGGTAACAGATGGCATGAACTTTAAATGGGTGGCATCAAAGTCTCTGTCATACAAATCTTGACTTTATAAAATCCTCCACCACATAAATAAATATTATTTAGACAGATCACTCAGAGGGAACCGATCATTAAAGTTAACTCACTGGCCCGTTTACTTCTGTCTTCTATAACTTGATTTAGAACTATGTATTGTCATAAGTCACGACCTATCACCTTTCCGATAAGGAACCTGTTTGTAACCCATTTAACTTTAACCACCAATAAAATAGATTAAATTGACTTGGGTAGGATTTGTGTTTACAAACTCGAGCTGAATGCTTTGTGTATAGACACGTTAGCAAGCCTAGTGGGTTAAGTACCCAATAAAACACACAGAAACATAACAGAAATTTGACATTAGGTGGTTGCGGTGCGTGATGGTATTATTTAATCAATTTTATGTGTTTGAAAGGTAAAGGCGCCTGTTTTGGTTAACTCTATTTAAGAACACAAGCGTTAGCTATTCGGCTAGCCCGCTAGCTATTAGCTAGGTTAGCTTAGCCATGTAGCACGTGTTTCTAGTCTTTAAAATTAACAAACTAGCTGATAATAGACAACTAACTGTAAATACCGTTGCGACTGGAGTAACCAGCTAGTTCGATGTTAGAATATTTTATTTATAATGGATAAGATGGATAACGAGAGGTAACGTTTGGATTCGAACAGGTCAATACTGCTATGTGTTTGTTTTCCAAAGAATAGTCGGACCCCGTCATCCAACAACAGAGCAGACCCCCAAAACCAACGGACAGCCAGCAGTGGAAGCTAACTAACCTTAGCGGAGGGGCAGGAGAAACCATTCGGTGTCGGTAACCGTTCAGCAACCAGCGTCCCAATCCTCAGACAATCGATTCAAAGTCGCTCAAAGATATTATCGCTTCGACTGAATGTCTCGCCCCAGAATTAATCCACAAGAAAGTGTTTTCGTTTTTCATTTGCTCCGCTAGCGGTTTTTTAGCGGTGTCGTTCCTGATCTTGCACTATACAGTGGTCTGATGCTACTCCCTGCAGCCGCTGCTGCCAAGACCATTGCGGGCTTGAACCGCCTCTCTGGCTCCCCATTGGTCCGCCGAGCCCTGGCCCCGCCTACTCACTCAGAGACCACACATCCCAAAAGTCAGTCAGACTCATGGTTTAGTGTCCAAAAAACTGTTATCAGATCATTCTCAGCTGGCTCACAGAAGTTAATATCTCTCATTTTTCTTTCTTCCAGTATTTATTTGCAACACAAACATTTCAATGCTTTGTTAATGCTTTAATAAATCCTTTGGATCCTATAAGATAAACAGCACAGTTCTTTTTCTGTTGTTGATTTTAACATTTCCACATTTTTAACCTTAAATCTTTAATTCAGAGAAATATGAAAAGGAAAATTGGACAGCCAGAGGAACTAAAGCCCTATAAGTGGATTTTAGAAAGCTTTCTAATAAATATCTTAAATTGTAGAGTAATTTTCATATATTTGAAAGTGCAAATCACTCTTGTGAGGACATCACAGCTCTTACATAGTCCTGCAGCAAATACTCCTTAGATTAAAAAAGCATGGTCCTTTACTGCAAATAAGGAGTTTACTATGGAATGCTGTCCCGCAAATATCAATAAACAGTTTAGGAAGTAGAAGCATGCCCTACAACACTGTAATCCTCACCCTTTGTTTTATTTCTTTCCTCACACATGAACAATCCACCAAATCTGTTCCGAGCTGAACCCAGGGGTCAACTCAAGTATCAGCCCTCCAGGAAGTCAACATCTGTGTTCCTTAATTCCCACGGAGAAGTACAAGCTGTGAATACACTGACTTAACATTGAAGGATAGTTTTTTGGGAGATCACAGCACCCCATGCTGTGCAGATAGTTGATGAAGCCAGTGCTCTGCAAATGGTCTGAAACCTTTGTCTTGTACAACTCACAGCTGTGTGTGTGTGTGTGTGTGTGTGTGTGTGTGTGTGTGTGTGTGTGTGTGTGTGTGTGTGTGTGTGTGTGTGTGTGTGTGTGTGTGTGTGTGTGTGTCTTTTTGCATGAAGATTTTACATTGGGGCAGATTCTGTCAAGCTATAGTAATTCATTTTACCCTTGATAATTGTAATTATATGTTATTACACCTTGCCAAGATGTTGCCATATAACTATCTGGCACACTTCAGACTCGATATATCTTGACCTAAATCTCAACGACAGCCTTCCCTGTGATGTCAGATGGGATTGTATTCCTTTTCTTTCAGCTCTGTGGTTTGGCAGAACCCCGTCAAACCATCTGAACAACACCCATCTCTTCATTCAGCCTTCACTGAGCAGCGGAGATAATTGTTTGTTTCACCTGCGTTATCTCAGCCTGTAAGCCTGGATAATATATTCCGCTGGCATTACCATGCATCATTTTTCATCCTGATGATTCTCACCTGCCAGTTGTGATGTTCACAGATCCAAGGGAAGTCAAATGCTGGGAAGTGTAAATGCTTCGGATCAAACAGGGACATTTGTTTAATGCATGCAAAAATGCATTTGCGACCCACTTCAGAGGGGGAGCACCTGAAGCATCTCCTCCACAAGTTGCAGAAATACCTCGAGAGGTTTGTTTTAATAGATCCAGAGCCCACATGAAAGGCACCTCTGAGAGTGACTGCACCAGCGAAGCAGACTTTAAAGATTTCAAAGGGCGTGAATTGACAGATGCACTGCAGACAGTCATTAGAGTTATGAAATTAAAGATGGGCATCAGAGGGTTCTGTAGAGCAGCAATTAGGGCAGCAATGCCTTTGGTTGTAACCAAATGGCGCTGAATGCTTCATTTCAACTGATTTCATGGGTGTAGGTGGTGCTGCCATGTGACATTAATCAATTTTGCAATGGCTGGCATTTGTCATAGTCATGGCTGAGCTCAAGTCAGGCAGACAATTATCTTTTATTCTGTAGATTCTATCAGCATCCCCACGACAAACGCTCAGCAAGAAACACTAGTTTGTTTATTGATGCACTTTGGTGTCATCGATCAGTCTAGTTTAAACACAAGCTCGACCTACAAGGCTTCACCTGGCTTCCTCATCCTCGCCACAACAAAGAAAGAGAGAGAGAGAGAGCAGAAGTGAAGCGCCTGAAGACTGCCTGCATTGTTGGAATTCCCGCCTAACTTCCTGAGTCTGTCCACACCTGGTTGACTGCCAGCACACGCTCTTCTTTCAGTTTTCCCTTTCCTTCCTTTTATAAGGATCACATGGAGACTGAATGTTACTGTTTAGACGTAAGCCTTTCCAGCTTCACACACTTGCCACGCAAAATTAGATCATCTCCCGTTTGTTGGATCTTGTATTCATCCTATTTAACATCTTTGTTCGATCACCCACCGCCAAAATGAAAATGTGTGTTTGCCTTTCTCTGTGTGTGTGTGTGTGTGTGTGTGTGTGTGTGTGTGTGTGTGTGTGTGTGTGTGTGTGTGTGTGTGTGTGTGTGTGTGTGTGTGTGTGTGTGTGTGTGTGTGTGTGTGTGTGTGTGTGTGTGCGTGCGCATGGTAACAGGTAATGTTGTGATCGACTTGACAGAATCTGTTGAAAAAATCCAAAAATGATTATTGGATGTTCATCAACAACTACCGAGTCAACCCATTTCGAGTTAGCAGCCATGGCTAATCTGCATTAGTGCACAGCAAAATGGCTACTACTCAGTCAGTTTTACAGGTAAGAAGCTAAACATTGGTGCTGTAGTAGCTCAGAGTCCCCGCCAGCACACACTCTAAGCACTAATCACTGGGTGACACCTTTGGTTAATACTTTGGCTCTAAATGTTAGAGCCTAGCACAAAAGACCTTTTACAGACATTGAGCCAGAATCTTATGCAAGAGTCAACCACAACACACGCTCCGATCGTGCAAAGCCTAGAAGGAAACATGCATTCCTTCAATGGTCTTTAATGTATTCTCTTTTCTCAGAGCAGAAAGGATCAGAAAACCTAAACTTTTTTTGACATCAGCTGTTGCTCACTGCTGCGATGTTTCAGCACCAGTAATAAAATCAGATGATTGCGTCCACATCATGAGACTGCTTTTGTCAAGCTGTTAATTGTGCTTGGGATTCCTCTTTGTCCCTGCTTGCTGCGGGCAAGGCAGACATATTTACACTTTTTCTGTGTCCAAGTGAACCCCTGTGATGAAGCTGGCATTGCTGCAGCACTGTTCTGACATGTGACTGATCTGTTAGCCAGCTTGGATTCATTAAAGTGGACACTTCACAGACATCTTCCAATATGAACGTCACGTCATCCGTGATCATCTTTAAATGAAGAAAAACAGAGAAAGACATCTTTATTTCTGAATGTTTTGCTTCAACCAATGTGCATCAAGCATGGGCCTCTTAAAGGATTTAGTCACACCAATGTCTTGCTCAGATGAAATCAGGTCATGGTGTTGTGGACTTTCTCAGATGTGACACTAAAAAGAGACGAATCTTAGTAATTCAGAGGCTGTAGTGATAAATGCTCCTGGATGTGATCTTGTTCCATCTGAAAAGAAAAGTAGACCAAATCTGCGTTTTTATAAACCGTAAATCGACACCAGCTTCACGAGAAAAGCCAGAACACTTGATCCTGTGAGGATGATACAAGTTATTTTTTTTCTTTTCTCTCTTCTCAAGGACAAAACCTGTTTTGGCTGCAGTTTTCTTGCTGAGTGGCTGAGCTGTAAGCCCAGAGGTGAATTGTTGCTGATCAGCCAGCTCAAATACAGCTCAGTGGGAAGTGCTGAGCTGGACGGACTTGCATCTAATGTTAAAAGCTCGGTCGGTGCCGAGTCCTTCGTCACTCCAGAGCACATCGCTATCTATGCAGCACTTTGTCCATCAGGAGATAACGGGCTTACTTTCACGTCTAGACTTCCAGTCCCAGGAAGGCATGTTAGGGGTACAACACCAATGTTTTCCAGGAAAAGGAGGGAACAGAGATAAGCGCAGGTCTGTGTGTGCGCTTCTGGAGAGTTAAACGTGGAAGAAGAGAGGTTTTAAATGGGAGGACAGAAAGAGGAAGGGTTCAGGAGAGTAGAAAAAACCCATAAATAAAACTAATGAAATGGCAGTTGAGTCCAAAGAGAGGTGGAATGACTGGTTGGGTCTTACCCACCATCTGATTTATCCTCAGAGTGCATGTGAGCACAGTGGGGGGGTGGGGGGAGGGTGGGGGTGGGGGGGATCCATTACCTCACCTCATCAATAACATCCCATGGACAGGGAAAAAGGTCTACTTTCCACACCAACACCCACCCCTGGGACCTGCTCAGTGAGCGGGGGATGGGGCGTAATGTAGTCACACATATAGAGCAAAAATGTCTCGGCTGGGGGGATGGGTTCATCTGGGTTGGCTGTGTGTGTGTGTGTGTGTGTGTGGGGGGGGGGGGGGGCTCAACGTATAGCAGCACAGAACACACTCAGCACTTTGCTGCTGCTTGTGATCACACGCATGTGTAACTGATTTGGAAACTGATGCACCCTGCGTGTCCCACATGGACGCCTTTGTTCTGGTTCTGTGGGTGGATGAACGTACGGCGTGTGAGTCAGATGACAGAGGCGGCGATCATCTGAGAGAGGTGGTGGATGAGGTTTACGCCACTCACCAGCAGAGCTGTGGATAAATTAGAACGGTGCAGGTGTGGGCATGCTCAGGATCATAATGTGTTCTAAACAGCACAGAGATTTCAAATGAGTCCAGAGAGATGACCCAAAATAGAAGGAAGCAATTCTTCACTGCAACAAAGAGAGGTGGAATTAAAACAAGGCGAGCGGCAGAGATAAGAAGACGAGGCCTCAGAAGTGTTTTACATCAGAAATGAGGTGAAATGTCAACAGAGCTTATATGGCCTACAGAGAGTAAACAGTGCAGTGATAAGAATAGAGTGCAATAGTAGATACTGTGACTGAAGTAATCTCTGTCACTCATCCCCCCCTCTGTGCGTGGGCGGATGTGAGAGTGATCTTTCATGTGATTTTTTTTCCCCTCCCTGCGAGATCACAAGATAGTGGCAGCGTCTGTGCAGGCTGACGGAGACTTCC